TCTGTAGAAAATGTAAGTTTATCAGTCTTTGAGAAGGCAGACCTGTGCTATTATGCCATTATCAATATATTACTTGAAAATTGTCTCAAAATAATATCGTTTATCACAATAATTTCTGGGCCAATTTATCACCCATCAGAATGTGTTATCATGGCAGGCATATTTACAATTTAGTTATTACAAATAAATGACTAAAAACTAAATGAATACAAATCAGCTTATTCTCTTTATTCTACAGTCACTAATTTTAGACTTGTTTACAAATTATCGCAACTGAAACTTTAACAAGACTGGAAACTGTCTTTTTCCAGTCAAGATGGATATGTCAGGATTTCCATCTGGACTTTCACAGGACAGCTGCTTCAAGTCATCTTGAGGAGGAAACCGTTCGGGAACCAGGATTAAGGATGAGGCCGACCAGCAGGACAGGGTGTGGGGCAAATTCAGCCGGAGAGCTGCAGCAGTCATTACATAAAAGAGAGGGGTTATGTAACGCCTGTGGGTTTGTGTTGGGGAACTTGGGTCGAGCTAAACACATCCAGATGTGTCAAGTGGAACAGAAACCTATACAGGCGCTCGACTGCATAAATACATGGACAGCAGCGATGAAGGGAAGGAACAACACAGCTAAGTGACTCAGACTGCAGAGTAATGCTGAGGCATAAGCATGAAAGGCACGCTGTAGTCCCAATTACCCTGCAGATCATACAAGCAGCACATTGGCTGGATCGTCAGATCATCTGGGGGTTTTTAAATACTGGAGAGAGGATTCTGTTTTTTAATGATCAGATTACAGGAATTGTGATTTTTTTATTGTTCCATAAGCCATTATGTAAGATCTGATATTTCCCGATGAGCATTTTTTGTTGCCTCAGAAACAAGAAACTGTGCCCACTCGTTTCTTAACACAGAACGCGCCGTGCTCCTTGTAACATGCTTAATCTAATGAGGACAACTTATTCTGCGGTTCGAGCAAAGAATGCCATTAACATAAATTTCTGAAAGTAGCAGCACCCACCAACTGGTTCAGGCCCATTATGGATTTCTCATTTACAATAGACACCAATCAAAGAGAAAAAAATGCCTGCAACTTAAGCTTACAACAGATGTTGGGTGAACACCAATCCTGAGATATGGGAAAGCACGTCGATAGAGCAACCATGGCTGACCTTGTAAGCAATATGGCCAAACAAGCAAGCAGGTTACATTACATTTCAGGTTATGGCTGCCAACCCACATGACATTAAAAGAATTAGGAGGCTGCAGCTCGAAGAAAACATAAAAATGTTAGCAGTTAGTGGTGTAGCCCCTTTAAGACGGTAATTGTTAACAGATACCAAATGTTAGATGGGAAAAATGTGGTATAATAGTGTCAGAAAAGCACACGCCTCACTTCCTAGAAGACAAATATGTTAACAAAGAGTCATGGCTGAACAGCACCGAGAACCAGTTTTCAACCTGTTGAATCACTAGCTCCAGGAAGAGAATTCAACTTTAGTTTTCACTTTGCTCAATAAAACTCAAATATTCACAGCTTCCATATCAAATGAAAATGTCAAATGTTTACATCATATGTAGGGCTCAGTTGCACTAAAACTCGGTACATTTTGTTTGTCTTTGTTTTTATTAAAGTGCAGAATGTATTGTACAACAGATAACCTGTGACACTCCCTTAGTCTCAAAGAGCAAGTTTTAACTAGTCCTGAGCAGCTTTAGATTATGTTTAGATTGGAAAAACTGACTTCAGCGAGATTAGCAGTACTTACTTCACAGTACAATACAGAAAGAAAAACAGTATCAGCATCCAGTCACTGATTAATAACTGATTTTATTTCCTCCCCCAACTAAAGAGTGTCTTACACAAGCACACATGATCTACTTTGCTACAGATAACCATATCTAAACGTTACATCTAAATGCAGCCCTCTTCATCACTCTTACATCTAATTCCAGGAACAGAATCAGTGGAAAATGTGCCTTTACACTGAGTCACTACATGTTAAGGGAGACCATGTTTCAGGAAGCTTTCACTGCCTGACAGTAAAGCTCTTATAAAAAGGTGGAGACTAGAAAGTTATTATGCTTAAATAAAGCAGGAACAAACCATGACATGCTCGCTGCGATGAGAAATTAACTCCTGAGCAAATAAATGTGGCAAGGAAAAGATCCACTTTTATCAATATATATATATATATATATATATATATATATATATATATATATATATATATATATATATATATATATCTCGCCCATTTCTCAGTACAGAAATGTGCAGTCCTTGGCACAGCCAATATACTGCGCAGGACCCTCAAGCTCCCAGGCCTCTGGTAGAGGACCCGAGCTCAGAGGATAAGAACCACCCGCGGTGGGTGAGAAGGGAATTTTTTTTTATTTTATATATATATATATATATATATATATATATATATATATATATATATATATATATATATATATATATAAACAGTGCGAGTGGTCACATTTATAGATGACAGAAAAGCCTGCAACCTTTATACAAGTAATATTCCTTCTCATATGTTTGTTTAGAAAGTATGCTAGGGAAATATTAATCATCTTTTTGGACTTTTCTGAAAACTGTATTTGTCTTACTGGGGCTAAACTTAGAAGCAGCATATAAATATATAAAGAGTGATGTGCTATAACTGATTCCAAAGCTTTTCGCTTTCAAGCCACTGAACATGCGCTTGTGTACATGAATAATAAGAATACTGGTTGGTAAAAGACCAACCAGTAATACTGGTTGGTAAGACACATATAGCCTTGTCTGTTGATACATGAATATTTTTCCAACTGAAGTATAAAAATTTACTTTAAATGAACTCTCAGTAGGAGGGTATACTGCTTATCCAATGGCACGATGCCAATTCCAGGATCCCTTTAGATTTATAAAAATGTAGTTAAAATTTTACAGATAACTAAGACTGAATTGAAACATATATAATTAAATCTGAATCTGCCTATACGATCATATTGACTTGTCTACATAGTTCTGTAAATGAATTTGATCTGTACGTGAATTTGTGTCATCACTGAAACAATCACAGAAAAATAAGTTCTTTTCAAGGAAATAAACTATAGTTTGCACTAAAATACTTTTCATAAAAGAGGGATAATGCAGAACATGTTACTGCTATAGAATTCCTTAACTTTAAATGTTTCTCTGATCTGTTCCCTACAAGGATGTGTTTTAATTTGAAAGCCTTTGGCAAAAGTTAGATTGTTCTTTTGCAGCTTCATTGTGATTGGCAAATAATGCCATGCCTTTATTACCACCTGGTTGCTGTAATGAGAAATGTTTTACTAGGAGAGCAATAAAATTTTTTTAAAAAACATACCGAAAGACAACACAACTGTTGAAAATAACTTAAAAACCAAGCTTCACCTAACAAGTAACTTTATATCAATTAATTAGTTATAACTACTTTAAAAAATATATTTTACAATTAAATTTGATTGCTATTTTACAACAACTTTAGATACTTATTGATAAGCTATGGAGAATGTCTTATGTAAATCTATCAAGGACAAGAATAGAAGACAAAGTGTAAAGACTTCCACTTTTAGATCACAACAAAACCAAATGAATAAAGCCATCTAACATAAGGAAAACAGCATTGAAATGACTTGTAAAACTGACTTTTTAATTCAACCTTTAACAAAGAAAGCAACTCATTGTTCAGTTTTTTTTTTCCATCCCAACACGCATTTTTTTAGAAACTTACATCACTGAATTAAAACAGTATAACCAATCAGATACAATAGCATTTTTTATATTTTCTCAATACATAATCAGATATTAAATTCAGTTTTTGTAATTGAAATTTATGAGGCTTGCTAAAAGAGTGTTTAAAACTGCTTTAAAGCAAGATTAAAGCAAGTCCTGAGCAACATGTTATGATTTGCCACTATGTAAACAAATTGAAGTTGTTGACAGTCCCATTTATTATACACATTTACAGAATTAAATCTATAATCAGCACAAATCTTTCCCCTACCACCCATATTGAAATTTTTCAAAATTATTTACTCATGTTTTATTTTCTCTTTATTCATCTTTTAAATTATGCCAAGTGTAAGAATCCGAAACCCCTGTGAATTGTTCATATGTTTAGGCACATAAGCACTTCCTGTTAGGATATGATAATATTTAGGTCAAAGGTTTAAAGTCAACACAGCGGAGGATAAAAAGAGCTACTTTGTTAATAATCTACCCAATCCCACTCAGGCCAGTAACGCCACTAACACTGCCAAACCACCTGCTATTCTGCCCCCTCCCTCTCTTGATTCCAATGACACATGGACATGCACTCTGATGTGAACTTCCCATCCAACACATTTCCATGCCCCTGCTGAAACAGACCTGACAGGAAGCATGCAAAAAATAAACACCACACCTCCTGTCTTGAAGTTAGCTCAAGATTTTAACAATTTTTTTTTTTTTAATATTTTAATGATGGTTTCTGTTGGTGCTCAGTCATTTGCTCTAAAGATAAACAGAACGTTCAGCTTCAGCCTGGGTCTTCTCAGGAGGTAGAATTGTATGACGAGGAAGATTTTTTCCCCCTAAGTCCAGTCAAGCTTGTGTTCTCTCTACAGGATCCCACCCACACAGTTACATGCTGCATGGGTGAACTGTATCTCTACCCCTCCCTGGAGTTTGACCAGGGCACAACTGAGGTAGGCAGTTATAATTGCCATTAGCACCTGCTATGCTGGAGTAGCATATTGCAGCGTTTGGAAATGGAGGGACTTTCTGTTGACAGTTGAGCAGCTCCAAGCACCATGACAGGCATGAGTAATGGGAGATGTTACTAAAAACCTTAAAATGACTGAAAATTTGTAAAATTATGAGACGATTTTAAGAAGAAAAAAAATAAAGGCCTCAAATAAAGTCAGTACTGGACTTTATCATGTACAGTGCAGGTGGTTTTGCTACTTAAAAAAAATTAAAAAGTGTGTGAGGTCACTGCACTTACATTTTGACATGTCGCTGCTCAATGTCCACTCTGGACAGCTCTTCCTCTTCCAGGTCAGAGTCCCCACCAGAGCTGCTTTCAGTTACATCAGAGTCAAAGGCGCTTTCTGCTGAATGCAGGTTGGCTGAGCCACTCAGATACAGCCTCTCCAGCTCCAAGGGCACAGCACCACTTTTCAGGAACCTGCCCAGGCCATCCCTGCTGTTTGACGAATAATGTCGTCCGGTCCTCCATGTGGCCGAATGTGGCGCCGCATCCGACTTGCGGCTCCCGGCTCGTAGCCTGCTAAGAGCCGAGTCCAAAAACCCACCTAGCTGCTGCTGGACGTGCCGCTCCACCTGCTTGGCCTGAACCACCTGAAGACGTTTGCGCAGGCGCTGCAGGCGGCTTTCGATTTCGGCCTGCCGCTTGCTGTTGAGGGCCGTGCGCTCTCTGACGTGACCATCGAGGCTGTCCGAGGATGAACTACAGGGCAGAGGCGGCTCTGGTGTGGCTGTGCATTGTGGGGATCCCTGTTGGCTACTGCCTGGTCTCTCCCCATCAGAACCCGGCGGCGGACCAGTACGCGTCTGCAAATCGGTTTCGTTTGAATTAACCTGTTCCGTTGAGTTCAGGTTGTCATGGTTAAGGGAGGACAGAGCAGCAGAATGAAGCACTGGTGGTTCCACATTATTTCCATCTGTGTTCTGAGGAGCACCGGAGGAATGCTTCTGTCTGAGGGCTTCTTTCACCGGGATGTGGCCCGATATGGTAGCAGTGAAGGTCTCTGAGTCCAATGGCAGGTTCTGAGGTTGAGAGTCTGTGGTGGCAGAAGGCTTGTCACCGTTCACCGCCACCATGCAGCCCGAACCTGACATGCTGGCCAGCTTCTTGGCCAGGCCATTGACTGGTGCCATGGGCTGGCCACTCCCGTTGGTGCTGCCACTCATGAGGCTTTTAAGCTGACCACCAGAGAGTTCAATTGCCTGCCTCCTCAGAAGGAACTCTCCCCCACCGTTCAGCAAAGAACTGGGCAGAATTCTGTGGCTTTTCAGCACAGACTGTTTGATGAGGACTCCTTGAAGCTTGATTGACTCCTTATTTGCAGGGACAGATGTCACATCTGAGCATAAATAAGAAGCCACCAGTGGCTGGAGTTTGCCCAAGGCCGAGGCCTGGGACACAGAGTCTGGTTGGGGCTGCTGCTCCTGCGGTTCCTGGTTGCCGCCACAGAAGTCGAGAGGGCACTCTTCGGAGGCGACCTTGCACTTTCCGGGGCCACTACCGTGGATGAGGATGTTGTTGGCGTTACTGTTGTTCTCTGCACTGGCCGGTGAGAGACTCGAGGATGGGGCAGCCAGTTTGAAGCGGATGTGGTGAGCTTCGGCTGGGGCGTCGGTGAGAGCGGGCGCCATCGCAGCCATGCAGTGCAGAGGGACGGGCACCTCGGCCTGCTCCACTCCACCCGCTTACTGCCCCACCGGAGGACAGCCTGGAGACGACATGGAGGAAGAATAAAACAACAAAAGAAAAACCAAATAAAAATAAAATAAAAAAAAAAACACTTTAAGCAGTGCTGGAAGGTTAAACACACAAAAAACCCATCTTGGATAATTTAGATTTCACAGTGCCACCAGCTACACTAATCAGTTCAATATATATGAGAAGGAATCTAAAAATTTATTTTTAAAAAATATGAAAAAAATATTTATTTTAAGATATTTAAAAAACACTAATGTATTGGAAACATTTGTGTATTCAACACACTAATGTATTGAATACTAATTTCGGAACTGTTAAAACAATATGACCACAGCTGAACCTATATACAACATAAATAAAACACTTGCACTACTGGTTTGGTAGGACCACACTGTGACTGGAAAATTACTAACCAACATCCAATCAGAAAGTAGAAAGGTTCTCTTTTTTTTAATGGGACCAATTATCAAACATACTTACTCTCACTTACATTGTAAAAGTTAAGAAAGTAAATTCTTTCCAACTCAAGCAAATATGGTCAAAACAAAAAATATCTGAAGTAAAAAGAAGACCCTCTTTCAATAAATTATCAAAGTTATTCACTTAATTTGCACCAGATATTTCTTTTTAAAAAAAAAAAAAAAAAGCCAGAAAAATGTTCTAAAGAGGGCCAACTTCAAACAAAATAAATAGAAGACACTATGCACTGACCTTGGGGAAATAAGATGTAAAGGAAGGTTTGGAATAACAGAAGTCACCTGAGCTAAGGCCACTAAATAATTTCCACTTCAAGCATGCATGTGCAAACAAGCCCTCGATGTCATTTACTTCTAAGGTTGTGAAAAAATAAAAGTACTTTTTTTTTAATCCTGGCAAGGAAAGAAACAGGAGAAACCAATGCAAACTGCCCAAACCCCACTGCCCTACATGTGCCCTGGCAAGTATGCATACAGCAGGGTTCCTTGCAGGCCATGTAAGTAGGTGGATTTAGGCCCAGCATTAGCTCAAAGCAAATGATGTCATCCTGCCAGGGTTGCTCTGTCATTTCATTTTAACTCATTGTTAAAATCTCACTTTCCCTGATATTAAAAGCAGAAATGCTTTTAAAAATGCAGTATGCCAAGAGAATGTTAATGGCACAGAGCATTGTTTGAATGATTAACATATCTTTCATGCCAGCTGCATGCCTATTCATGGGAAACTTTTAAGCAGACTGCCTTCAAATTGTAAAAGATAAGAGCTGCATCTCAGCGCATCGTCTGCATGCTCAGATGAATGGGTGTTCAGTATTTCACCGCAGTTTCTAGTCGGCGCGCACTACGCCATGTTGGTGTTTCCGAAGCAGATTATGCAATGCAATTCATCCATCTAAAAACACCCATTCGACTGCAAACACGCCAAATGAGTCCGGGGAACACCGGGGGAATTTAAATGGTCAAAGATGCAACTATAACTCCCCATGTTGTTTATCTGTAAAAACGTGTGGCGAGATGCGACAAAAAAAACGTCCACATCCAACATTACCCAACCATAACGTAATCATCAAAATGTCTTCCTGGTGTTTACAAGAGCATTGGTCCACGTAAAAGGCAGCTTTGCGCCTTAGCGCTAAGTGTGCACCATTTCATTGCACTAAATTTCAATTAGTTTAGGCGGAAAGGCAGCGAATGATCACTTCGTATCACGAGAAGGTATCAGACAAAAAAGGAAGACAGAAAAAACGATCACGCAAACGCAAGAATCGACAGATAAATATTTGGTCACTCTGTAAACTGCGTGGAAATTAATGCGCTTCACTGCTGTTTAACGTTAGCCCAAGAAAGCTGCTGATGCAAGAAACAACCTGCTGGCAAGCTGGCGTGTCTCTCTCTCAAGCCAGCTGCAGTGAAAACGACACATGCCCTGACCACACTGTTATCTCGCTTTAATGCTAAACTATTTTTATTTTCCGGAGGAGGTAGAGACCAACTTCGGAGTTTTACGTAAACCTCGTTAGGCAAGTAAACATTTAAAGTGCCTGCGTAACCTGCGCGCACTTGCGGTGATAGTTTTTAGTAAATTACGCTTAGAGTTGAAATGTTTAACAAGAGGGTCGCTAAACGCACAACAGTGAACATAAAACAAGCTTCTGTTGCATTGAAGCTACTAACATGACCCTTATAATCAGACATTTTTGTGTCTGATAAATGTTTCAAACAACGTTTTACGACCAATTGCACAGTGGAGTCACGGTCTGCATTGTAATCAGACTACAGAAATAAACACAAGTAGCTTTATTTTTTATCTACAGCACCAGTCCATGGCCCTACTTTCGTACAGAAGCTGGAAGGGAATCGGGCGGTGCGTGTAGTTAAAGCTGGTCTCTCTGAAAAGCAGAGAAGTTGGGAGTAAACCCAGGCAGTCTGGTTAGCTCGCTAACAAAGAAAAAGGAGGAACCTACCACGTGACGAGGTTGCACTATCCGAGGGAATTTCGGCAACAGTCCCCTGCAGTTTGAGTGGAAAAAAACCAAGAGTACCGACACAACACACGGGGCTTTTGTCGATCACTCTGCCATTAATTATTCCAAAAATACACAGCCAGGGTGCGGAAAGGGGCCCGCTTATCGGAGCCTCTCGGCTTCGTTCCGGATTCAGCAATGGGCGAATCACCGAGCTACAGCTCGCCTCGCCGCCACAGCGAATATTATAACCCTAGGCCGCGAAATAGTCCGTCCTATCCCCGATTACTTCAAATGTACGTGATTCCACGGCAATCCTGAAGCGAAAAAACAGATTCCCGACGAGAGAGAGGTAATCCAGATGGCGGTTTGACGCGAGGCTTTTTCTCTCGTTTTAGGGAGAGACGCTTAGAAAATGGCGGCTAGCTCCTCTCCGTCGGATTGAGTCTGACAAACATAGAAGAGCTCTGCGCGCGCGTGTAAGTGTGTGCGTGCGCTGCTGTAGGCGGGAGACACTACTCATTCTCACCACTAGAGTAAAGGGCAGATAAGAACCGACAGAAAGGCTCAAAGAAGATACCACAGGAGGGCATTGTCTTCCCAAAAAACACAGCGCAGTGTCACTTTCACACTTATTATTCTGCTACGATGGTGCTGCTGGTTAAACTGGAAATATCGCCGCCTCTGCTTAACGTGTATCCCGCATGCTCTCGGAACAACTGTTTAAAGCATATTCAGCTTCTGTCCACAAAACATTCGCACAAACGGATTATTCATGTTAAATGACCTTGTTTATTCGTAATTTAAACCAAAGCAGTTAATACTCTTTAACAATAAATCATGTATCCTTATTTCTGCTAAACTACCGCCACAGTAAAGGTTCTGATTCCCTTTAAAGCTCAAGCTGCGCGTCTCTCATGTCACTTTGAACAGGATCTGAATCGCCCACCACTACAGCAGCCTTCTGTGGAGGTGTAGCCTGTGGCCACATGAAGGGGCTCTTTCCCTTCAGTGTAATAAAACACCACATGGTGTCTAGGAAACAGCACCAATCAGGACCAAACAGCTCTGACATAAAAGCCACTGCACCTGGACTAATGATTTGAATTAACCCTGTAATTACAGTATCAATCACATTTCATTGTCAAATTTAACTGCTTCATATCTGCTAACTCCCTGTGAAAAATCTGTGTAATAAATTGTGCCAGATTTCAAATGAAATACTACAGCGTTTGTGTATTTTGTTTATTCACCTGTAATAATGTGTATTTAACCCAAACATGAAGATTTCTTGCATTACAGGCTTTTGACATATTTAAATAAAGAATTTAAATCGGTACTGCATATGTGTTTTGCCTACATATATAATACATTTTATATATTTTTTGTTTAATGTGTTAGTAGTTGCTTTAAATTTTCAGCTTTTAAAATCCTACTGGCTGAAATTAGTTATTTGTAGAGTTGCTAATAGTAATTAATGTAATTCCGATTATTATCTTAATAATACTAATTGTGCTTACAGATTAAGCACATTGTACTCTGGTAATAACATTAAAACTAATTCATTTTAAACAGCACCATGCAAAGCTGTTTCCTTTTCAATTATTTAACATTAAAGCCAAGTATTATCTTTAAAGCGATAGTTTGGTTACTTGGGGTGAGGTTCTGTTGAGACGTTGTGACCAGTTAATATCTTCCCTTCAACAGATAACTCAGAGTTATCTTCCCAGAAAAAGATAACTCTCCTCCCAGTAAGAGGGGGCCAAGACAACACTGGACTTCTCTAAACAGCATTCATTTCAAAATGCTGATGTTTGTATAAGGTGGTTATTATGTACAGGCCTTTTTAGATATGTGTAAACACAACTGCTGCATTTAAAACACAAACAGCTAAATGAATAAGTATATATGGGCGCTATCTGAAAGAGGAGCTATCTAATCGCTATACTCACTCAATGCTTATGGTGGGTTGAATGCTAGTACCTAGTCTCTACAGTGTTTAATCAGGATCGTCTTACTGGGAGGTTAGAAGAGTAATGTAGAGTAAAATATAAAATATGAAAAAAATGAATAAATAGTGTTCCTAATAGTAATGTCATTTTAAATGTTGGTCATGTTCACCGTTATTGAAAAAGCGGCATTAGATCCCAAGGAGTTTTATTCCCGGGTAAATAACACAAAAAATAAATAATGAAAAAGGAAATGGGACTTATTTCAATCTGAAAGAATTCAACATTTGTCTTGGACCCTCTATGACTGGCCATAAAGAATGTGTCTTTGTTTCATCAAAGTTGAATTCTGAAGAGAGACATTAACTGATCATATCCTATAAACTTTGAAAGAAAATCTTAATCACCCATCTAAATTAATAGACATAAACATTAAAAGAATTTTTAATTATTTGATGTATTGTTTCATAACACTGTCACCAAACTGTTTATTTGTTTGTTTCTGTTCTTACTGTTTTAGCAATATTTTAAGTGTGTTTACACACAAATTTGTTAAATGTTTTCCAATTTTATTCATAATAGCTGTCAACACCTAAAATAATTATAACATTACATACATTTAAAAAATATGTGGGAATCCATTCTGTTCTATAATGCATTTCTCTGAACAGTGATGCAAAATAAATGGTGTGCTCACTGGCAGAATATAAAAACTAACTCAGAAGAATATTTTCAAAAGTCACAATATATTCAATAAAGTTAATGTGAATTTGGACTTTGTTACTTAATCATGGACAAAATATGGGTGACAAGTTTGTTTTTTCAGCATACAAAAACTGCAAAACTATATTTTCGACACCCTATCAGAAATAGCCAATAAACACTACAGTTATTTTGGTAAATACTGAAATGATAATATAAAACAGACTATTGATTCATTAAAAAAAAAAACAGCATATTGAGTAGCTATTCAATACCTAAACTGAATTTTTACTAAATGTTTTCAGGAAATTCCAGTCACTTCCTGTATTAGTCACTGATAGATCGCTCTGTATTTGAATTTCAGACGATCAAACAGATTTGTTGAGGCTGAATTGCAGTGTCTTGCAGACACTCTGGAGCATGAAACCTAGTGTGTCATGTGTCAATTATATGCATCAGGGTATTTTAATTCAAAGTGTTTCCCCACAAATACACTGACCCTGCAGCTGCTGGTCATTTCTCCTCTTCACCACATCTTTGCAGTTTTGGTAAGTTCATGCCTAACTCATGCCAGGTACAAAATTGTGCCAAGTACCATGGCAATGTTTTATACCAACCAGGCAACATTTCATACTTGGCAGGTGGACGTTTCACCACCCCTTCATTTCTCTTTTTACAAGCTTTACTGAAGCTGGATTCTTCCAATCAAGTGTGCACAAGCAATTGGTTTTAGACTTAAGCAGGGTCATTTAGACTCAAAAAGGTAACTGCTAACCTCAACTTCAAAAGGAAAACAATATTTGAACACAAATTCGACCGTAATGTTGAATATTTTTATGAGAGTGAATCCAAATCTTGTTTTTAAGATAAAGAAATGTAATATGAAGAAACACACAAAACTGACCTAGGACATACTTAAGCATACACAGAAATGAACACTTAATTTTGCTGGGCTTGAATGTTTAGTTTGTGTCACTAAACAGTCCACATATGAAAAAACAACAACTGAAAGATTCCCCGGACACCATGTTGAGATGTTTGGATGTTCGATATTAATGGTGAAAAGAAAAATATATAAAAATTATATTAAAACGCTCTCTTTCCTTTCATTACATTTTTAAGTTAGGCTTTCTGACAAGAATTAAGCCTGCAGACAGACAGATTGTGATAGAAATTAGTCTGATGAAAATAATATTTTATGAAATGAGACTGATTATCTTTTTTTCTATATGTACTAATACTACTCCTGCAATATGTGTAAGCTATAGTAAGACATTATCAATATTACATTTGTTGCAACTGAAATAAGGTTTCCAGTTTTAACATATCAAAGTTCCTGGCTCATTTGAATTTTCTCATGCTGTGGTGATTTCTGCACACGCTGCTTGTGTTTATCTTTGGTCATTTTAAATAAACAGATGTCTATGACTTCCTGTGTACAGAGGAGGCTATCCAAGGCAAAACATGTTGCACAAGATTAATGTATTCTTAATTCTTAAGCCAAGCAGTTAACAATAAAAATGATCTGAAAATTAAAAAAAAGCTGCTTGAATCCACAGGGCAAGAACTAAAACTATCAGTCTCTAGAACCAGTTCTCTTCTTTTATTAACAAGGAAATATAACTTAATATCTTCGATCTTTGTGCCTAGTTTCGGGTTACAAAAACAGTGCGTGCAAAGATGGTGGATTTAAGCACTCCTTTGATGACCCCTCATGGATTCCAAGGCGTTCCCTACACTTCCTGAGATATTGTTCCCATCTCAGTCGTCTGAGAATACTTCCACAGAGATACCCAGAACCAACACATCTGATGTGGCTCCATCCCAAGAAACCATTTTCTTTGAGAAAAGTTCTGGAGCTACCAAGAGGACGTTCATTACATTCACAGTATCTGCAAAGCATTACTGACTGACGACCATAACAGCACATCCCTGATGGTCTCAGTGAAACACAAACCAAAATAAACAACGAATAACATGTAATAACAGTTTAGGATTACCTTTAACTCCATTGTTGAAATAATCCAGATAGTAATCCAACGAACCATAAGTGGAGTTATTACTTTACACCTAAAACATAAAATGAACAAATAGATGTCAGAAATAAATACAGATATTAAGCATGAAGCAACACCTAATATTTATAAATTATTAAGACAGAGCAATTCAACCGAAAAAAATATATATATTATGATTCAAGGTCTCTATTGTTGTATCAAAGGGTTGAGTGGTTTGGCCACAAAAACAAGTTACCATCTTGTTTTAAATTAATCTTTTCAAGTCATACAAATTGTAGGAGTTTTACTCCAAAAATCAAACGCAAGTTTGTAAACTTTTTTTTATAAACAGTTAAAGTGAATGACTTTTGAATGACACAAAAATAGAGACTTAAAGAAAGTTAATTTAACAACAGACCAATCAAGTGTTAACTCCAGTATGACAAAAATAAATAATGAGCCACTGCAATCACAACCTGATAAATATACAACAAAACAAAATAACCTTAATGTTTTTGTAAGATTGATGAATTTATAAAAAAAAATATTACCACTACTACTACTAATAATAATAATAATACAAAATAAACATTTATGCTGAAGATAAACTGTACAGAATAATCACGATACTGAAAATAATTTTCTGCATAGTGACACAATGTTGGGAATCAATGTTCACTATTGCAATCATTATCACCATGGAATGATCAGTTCATTTCATTTAACCACCACTAAAGGAAAAAAGCTGTGATGACGGTACACATTTTAGAGGTGGAGAACCTTAGTCATTTAAGAAGAGCTAAAATTTAAATA